AGGTGTTACAAATAGTCCCCTGTGCAGGGCATGTATGGGGGAGGAAGAAACGGCAGCCCACATGTTGCTGACTAGGGCATCGGAACCGGTTTTTCCCGGTTCCAAAAGAACCGGGAATTCCCGGGTTTCAGGGGTTACGAGAAGAACCGGTTCCGAAAATATAAAACCCGGTTCTTTCGGTTCCTTTACAAAATGTCTTTAAAAGTATATCACTGCAATGTAGTGTTATAAAAAAAGTGATTATTAATCATTTCTGCTATTTATGGCAAACGGTAGGATTTGTAATGATATTTAATTTAATTTGGTATAAATTTTCAAGGGTTCCCCCACTAAAAGTGACGAAATTCTTCAAAAGCACATCGTAGCTGATTTCGGACAAGAATATTGTTTTGTTTTAGATGTAAAGACACCATGGAGTAGCATAGCCGCGATGTTTTCTGAAGTTAAAAACGATCAGAAAAGCATTAATTGATTTAAAATCTGATATACAAACAATAGTTACAAACACAGTAGAGTTAAATAATATATTGCATGTTTTTAAAACTATCGTAGAAGCTGTATCCCGTTGCGATGCAACATTGATTACAGCCGATGTTTCTTTAAAATTTGCAATAAGAAAGTTAATTGAAATGAATACTCATCTTAGTAATAAAATGTTCACTGCATTGCGAAAATAATATAAAAAACATGCAAGCATCAATACTGCGATACTTAACCAACCTTGACAGTTATTTTGCCAGTATGGACGAAGCTGCAATAATCTTTTCCCGGCCTACAAGTGATGAAAGGTTACACGAAATTGAAAATTTTTACTTGGTAGAGCCATGCTGCAGCTATATTACTAGTATAGTTGTAGCACGAATAGGTCGGCTCGACCGGGGAAGGACCACGCTCTCACAGAATACGCTGCTGTGTATGGTGAGTGTAGAGAATCGGACTTCTACTGATCGGATCGGATTTTTACTGGAAACGAGGCATTCAATCTTAGTCCTCACGGGTGACAACGCATTTTGATTCGTCATCGAGGATAGATGTAGATGTCTATGGGCCACAGCAACCCCTTACCATCAGGTGGACTGTGTGCTCGTTTGTTATCCTTATTCTATAAAAACAAATCGCACAAAAGCTAGACAAAAAGTATCCCTTGAAGAAACGCCAGCAATTGGATGTCAAAATCTGCAGGAAGTTGAATTACATGAATCCCCCCTAACAAATGAAGAGGAATTTAATAGAGAGCTGTCTAAAGCTGTTAGGTAATAGTGCTACTGAATCGACAGATCAAGAAAATGACTTAATTACTACTGTGAGAGTTGAAATGGCTCTATTTGAAAATGGTGGGCAAAGACAACGAGTACTACTTATCGATAGCTAATAAACATTTAAAAACTATATCGCCCGCCAGTGTAGAGCCAGAGCGAATATTTTCTTCGTCTGCAATAGGCTGCGTTCGTCTTTGAGTGATAAAAATTTGCATGCATTAATTTTTCTGCGTTTTTTATTTAAGTAATTTTTAATTAAAACTAATTTTTTTTCATAAGTGAGCTGATTTATGTTTTGTTATACTTAATAAAAGTATTCGTAAAGTATATTCTATGATAAAATATTGTAATGTTATAATAGAATAGAATCTTTATAAATTATTTTTATGTTGAATGATATTAAAATTTAAGTAATGTTGTAAAATGAATGTTACTAATTAGTGAGATGTTTGATTATATTTAATTAGAAAGAAACTATTGCAATTATTACTTGAATAATTACTTTAACCCACGATTTGCAATAAACCGTTTTCCTTATGAATATTATTATCGTTATTCACATTGAACAAAATAGCCTCCAACCTAAAAGAAAAAAAAGAACCGAAAGAACCGGGTACCCGGTTCTGGCAAAAGTTTAGAACCGAAAGAACCGGTTCCTGGAAAGGGACCGGTTCTCGATGCCCTATTGCTGACATGTCCGGAGGTCGCTGCATACAGGTCTAAACATCTCGGCACGCCGAGATCACTCTCCGAACTTGCTCGCAACATCAAACGACTGTTGAACTTCTTCGAGATTTCATGGCTCTAATAATTGCATTATTCTTGCCCACACGCAAAGCGCACCAGTAATTTGGTTGACACAGAATATTGATAATTTACAAATTTTTGAGATTTATTCTTTTGTACAAAGGTGGCTCTTCACGTTGGCCAACATAGTGGCGAATGTATTGGCCAATACCAATGGCCATCGTGTAGAGCGGGTATTTGTCCTTACGTTGGTATTTATTGTAATGATAGCCCACAACTTGGCGCGAGATCTGTGTGGTGTCGGTTTTTTACAAAAGATCAAAGGGTTGTGGCAGAGTTATGATCGCCGCGTCCACACGCTGGATCGCAGGATCGCTGGACGCTCGTTTAGTTTGCTACGAGCTCACCTGATTTAAATTTTATATTCACGCATCGTAACTAGTGTCTACAAAATGGCAGCAACAATGACCAATGAAGAAACTTTTCGCTTTATAGAGCTCTATCAGGCCGAAAATTGTTTGTGGAACACAAGAAATAACATTTCTTTTTTCTATTTCTTTTTAATCACCCTTTTCTTATACACATTCCGAAGCAGCCTTTAACGCCTCAATATACATTTTAATAAATTTGTCCGCACATTGGCTTGAACCGAAGCAAACTGAATGACCAACGTATAGACGCCATTAAAAACTCTTGGCTAATATCTTTACCACCACATTCACCGCATTGTTGGCCAATGTGAAGAGCCGCCTTAAGCCGAATAGTCTACATTGATGCCAAATTTCAAGTTTCTAAGTAACCCAGAAGTGACTTATGTTTTTATGAGTAAATAGTAAGTCTTTTCACATTAATGCATAAGTAAACTGTTAATAACTTTGTGTAAAAAATACAATAAATACTAGTTTATATTGTGGAAGAACTTTAGTTGCCATCATTGGCAAATCATACAAACCATCTTTATAAATATATATTATTTTATAGAATTATGGTGCCAAACGAGCACACAGTCCACCTGATGGTAAGTGGTTGCTGTGGCCCATAGAAATCAACATATATCCTCATCTGCGAATGGTCGAGCTGACCCATATGTGCTACAACTATACTATAAAAATAGCTGCAGCTTGGCTCTACCACGTACAAAAACTAACTATATATAGCTACAATATTGGCACCGTGTTGTTGAATGAAAAAAATTCTAGGAAATATTAATGTGGGTAACAAGGTAACCATTATCGGCCAATAAAGAATCAATCTACAAGTATACACTGGCCTAGTGTGTGATAAGCCCTTAGGTGTATCATAAAAGATAAACTTGCCCAATGTGTGTTAAATTAATATAAAACAATATCGAAATTAGTTATGTAATTCTTTTTAATTTTTAAAGCAGTCTTTACTTTTTTTTTTAAATTTAATTTTCATTATAGACTGTATATCCTTAAATGTTACCACTGTTTAGGCCAAGTTCCAGTTATAACCTTATATTTCCCACCTCTCAACCCTTAAATAGTTCACAATGTTTTTGGTTTTAATATTCATATTTGGCGCATGGTGGTACTACAACTTTGCATGTTTAATACTCGCATATTATGATACTTTATTTTCTATATTTTGCATATACATAATATTTTGAGATGTTTATACCACCAACAATCAAAGCCACAGATCTACTAGGCATCTAAGTGAAAATATTTATTCAAAATATACGCAACTTAAGCCTTAAACATTCCTTTTGTATTCCTACTGATATTCAACAATGAAGATATTGTAGTATATAACAACAACGAAGGCATATTTTTAGGGTTGTCTATAGATGCCCCGTACTTAATTTTAATTATGTTTTCAGTTTAGGAGGCTTGTCAGGGTTAAGCTTGAACCTTTTACTGTTTTTGGATGTCGGAAATGCATTTTGCATTAATTACGATAAAAATAAATTTCACTAAAAATTGCATATAACAAAACGGGTCACCCATAACAAAAGTTAATTACTCGGACCAAGACAATCCATTTGTAGCTGAAGGTGGGAATCATACACAACAAATTGAGTTGCAGTGGGGAGCAGTCAATCGATATAAGATAGGTCGAATCTGTACTAGTCAAGTCAGAACGCCCCAACTCCACGCTGAAGTCGAGGCTGGTTGCCAAAGGCGACCAATAAGCCTAAGCTGCAGAGATGAGCATGGATGCCTGTGATTTGCTACGCAAGGGCGATGGGACTGCACTTCCCGCAGCGCCGAAGCCATTGCAGAAGTAACTGAGTCAATATTCCTATGTAAAAAATAAGGTTATGATTTTACGAAACAATTTATTAGTTATAAACTATACATTTCCACAATGGGGAAGTGTAGGCTTCCCTTGAATCCTCCCCTCCCACCCCCGTACGCGAGTACCGGATGTCTAAAGTTTTACCAACATATGACCAACCGATGATAGAGTATGGATTTCAAATTTGGAACCCTATTTTCTTAAGAGAGTCAATATTCCTGTGTAAAAACGTGAGGTTATGATTTTATGAAAAAAATGATTACTCATAAACATTATTTATATTTCCGAAAGGGGGAAGGGAATGAGGGGGCTTTCCCTGAACCCTCTCCCTCCCCCCAAATCCCTCCCACCCGTACGCGAGTACCGGAAGTCTATAGTTTTACCTAGTTTTAGCTTAGCCCTAAGAAAAAATACACTTGAATCATCCTAGATGACTCACGTGGTGGTTGTGGGCAATATCAATAAGTACAAAACGGATGAGTCATCTATATTGATTTTGTACGAGTACGATGTACGCACGGACGCGGTACTTTTGACGCAACTTGGCTAAAACTTGTGTGCAATATAGCCATACACATTTAAAAATGCTATTAGTTTTAAACAAATTGTTACTGTGTATCTTTATATTTCGGACGATTAATTTTGCTTTGCTTTATACTTACTCGCTTGACTAAGGATCGACAAGTAACAGCGTATTGACTTAGAAAATTATTTCATCATTTAAATACTTACAGTTTGACGAAGTTTTTTCTTTACCGGCAAACATTTCACTCATCTTAAATTCTTTTTCTTACAAAATGCGAACTTACAAATTATGTTTACGCTCCTGTATTGAAATTTGAAATTCAATTTTTATAGTTTATAGTAAACAAAATTTGTCTATGGTGACTCGTCAACTCACCATAGACAGGTACACACAGACTAATATGATACTAACGTATCAGGTACATATGAGACAAGCGGGTAAACCATAGATATAAGAAACACAGAACACTATTACAGGATAAGAAAATTGTAGAAAATATAATATACTATTTTGCTTAAATCAATGGGGTAAACACTCTCATCTATAGATTAGGACCCATAGATTACTATATAATCGTACAATAGTCAGAGAATCCAATAGACGGCGGGGTCGCGTAACCGCCTATATTCCATAGATATAGTATATACTCCATGGAGTAAGTCGAGTATTTGCTGAACAAAGTCTCGGATTGGGGGCGACTAAATCTAGTCCAGTTTAATCCTCAGAAGACACAAGTTTGCGCGTTTACCGCTAAAAATGACCCTTTGTCGTATCTCCTCAGTTTCAAGGCACTCCCCTTCTTGCCTCAGCCAGTATCGTAATCTTCGGAGTCGACATATCGAGTGACGTGTAGTTTCGTGGTCACTTGGAAGAGAAGGCCAAATTGGCCTCTAAAAAGTTTGGCGTGCTCAGCAGAGCGGGACAGTATTTCATGTCGGCATACCGCCTGCAACTATACAAGACGCAGGTTCGGCCTCACATGGAATACTGTTCCCGTCTCTGGGCAGGGGCCAGTGCCAGCTCCTTCCACTTGACCGCATCCAGCGCAGAGCGGCTCGAATCGTCGACGACCGAGTTCTTTCCGATCGGCTCGATTCATTGGCACTGCGAAGAGGTATTGCATCCCTTTGCATTTTCTTTCGCATCTACCATGGGGAGTGCTCTGAGGAATTGTTCGGATTAATCCGCGATGTGCGTTCGTGAAATTTGGCGGCTGGCCGCCAAATTTCACGAACGCACATCGCGGCAGAACTCCCGATACCATCCACACCATCTGGATGATTGGCGGTCCACCACTGTGCGATTTAGAAGATGTTTTCTTCCTCGCACGACTTCCTTGCGGAATCGATTACCATCAGCGATTTTTCCGGACCGATACGACTTAGGGACCTTCAAGAAAAGAGCGTACGCCTTTTTAAAAGGCCGGCAACGCATCTGCAATTCCCTCCCTAGTGTTGCAGTTGTTACTTACCAGATGAGCCGCATGCTCGTTTGCCCCCTCTCCTATAAAAAAAAATAAAAAAATGGAGTTTAATACTATATCTATGCTATATTCACAAACTAGTAAGAAGTGCTATATTTCTCTGTCTACGCGTAACCCCTAATCTGCCTTTCAATTTGGCAATGTTACCCACAAAATAGGGAATATTGTTTGTAAAGCATAAGTCAGTAATTCTAGGCCACTTTATTCACATGTTATTAGGATAGGATAACTAAAGCAAATAAAACAAATAGGTAATATTAAAACATATTTATTTGTAAAGAAAATCATAATAATTACACTTATAGGTCTTGGTAATTCCAATTTAATTATTATTGTCCTTGTTATAAAACTCATTTAGTATGAATATTCTTAATTTTTTCGACGGACTCGCTAATTTTTGTGGTTTCATGATTATTCTTATTTCAAAATATCTTAAAGCAACAGCTTTAATGAGAAGCATTATGTGATTGTCAATATAAAGAAATTTATATTGATGGGATCGATCGAGTTAAGTAGATTGCAATCCTCTTCGTTAACAAGAACTTTGACCTTTAACCCTTCAAGAATTTGTTCTACATTTACAACAGTTATAGGTAAAGATAACATACGCTACTATTCAGTCTCTGGTTTTAGTATTTAATCCCTTAGCCCACTTTTATGACAGCTAGCTACCTAGGTACTAACTGGCACAAAACAATTTTTTAAAAACTTAAAATCTACCGCAAATGCGCACGGTAGTATCATAACTACGTCATGAATTAGATACCCATTTTGGTAATTTTAACTTCCTCCTGGAAAAATATTTTTTTTTATAGATGAGGGGGCACACGAGCATGCGGCTCACCTGATGGTAAGTGATTACCGCCGCCCATGAACAACCGCAACACCAGGGGAATTGCAGATGCGTTGCCGGCCATTTAGAAAGGTGTAAGCTCTTTTCTTGAGGGTTCCTAAGTCGTATCGGTCCGGAAAATTCGCTGGTGGTAATTGATTCCACAAGGAACTTGTGCGAGGGAGACAACTTCTTCTAAATCGCACAGTGGTGGACCGCCAATCATCTAGATGGTATGGATGGTAACACGAGTTTTGTCGCGATGTAAGATGGTGAAATTGAGCGGCTGGAATTAATCCGAACAATTCCTCGGAGCACTCCCCATGATAAATGCGATAAAATACGCAAAGAGATGCAACATCTCTACGCAGTGCCAGTGTATCGAGCCGATCAGAAAGAAGTCGGTCGTCGACGATTCGAACCGCTCTGCGCTGGATGCGGTCAAGTGGAAGGAGCTGGCACTGCGGTGCCCGGCCCAGAGATAAGAACAGTATTCCATGTGGGGCCGAACTTGCGCTTTGTAAAGTTGCAAGCGATGTGCCGGCACGAAATACTGTCTCGCTCTGCTGAGCACGCCAAGCTTTTTAGAGGCTAATTTGGCCTTCCCTTCCAAGTAAGTGACCACACAAAATATCACATATCCTCAATGTTAGTTATCATCATCATCATTCAGCCTTTCATAAGTCCACTGCTGAACATAGGCCTCCCCCAAGGAATGCCACAAAGCTCGGTCTTGAGCCACTTGCATCCATCGACTTCCTGCATGTCTTACCAGGTCGTCACTTCATCTCGTGGGGGGTCACCCTACACTTCGCCTACTGGTACGAGGCTGCCACTCGAGAACCTTTCTTCTCCATCGGTTGTCGGTTCTTCGAGCTATATGGCCGGCCCACTGCCACTTAAGCTTATTAATCCGTTGGGCTATGTCGGTTACTCTGGTTCTACTGCGGATATCCTCATTTCCAAGTTTCAGAGAAACCCCGAGCATAGCCCTCTCCATAGCTCGCTGAGCGACCTTGAGCTTCCTCATACGGCCAGCAGTGAAGGACCAAGTCTCAGATCCGTAAGTCATCACTGGCAACACGCACTGGTTTTACAATTTCGTTTTAAGGTTTTGTGGTATGTCTAACGAGAAGATGTGTAGTACTTTCCCGAACGCTGCCCAGCCGAGTTGAATCCATCGATTGACCACTCGGTCGAAGTTGGACTTACCTAGTCGGACTATTTGTCCCAGGTAAATATACTCGTCAACAACGTCGAGCTTAGTGCTCCCAACAACTACCGGCATAGGTGTGACATGGACGTTAAACATGATTTTTGTATTGTTCATGTTCGTCTTAAGACCTATCCGTTGGGAGACACTATTGAGGTCATTGAGCATAGTGCTTAGGTCCTCCAGCGATTCTGCCATAAGGACTATATCGTCGGCAAATCGAAGGTGAGTGATGTACTCGCCATTGATGTTAATACCGCATCCTTTCCAGTCCAGCAACTTGAAAACGTCTTCCAATGCAGCGGCGAAGAGTTTCAGGGAGATAACGTCACCCTGTCTTATACCTCTCTGCAGTTGGATAGGTTTCGTACTCTGATTCTTTACTCGGATAGCCATCGTAGCTCTACTGTACAAACACTTCAGCACTTCGATATACCGAGAGTCAACTTGGCATTGCTGAAGGAACTGCAGCACCGCCCAAATTTCGACGGATTCAAAGGCTTTCTCATAGTCCACATACGCAAGGCAAAGTGGCAGATTGTATTTGTCTGTCTGCTGTACAATTTGCCGAAGGGTGTGTATGTGGTCTATGATACTAAAGCCTTTTCGGAAACCGGCTTTTCGGGAGGCTGGAAGTCGTCAATCCTGCGTACGAGACGATTCGCAATGACTTTCGAAAACAGCACGTAGACGTGGCTTAGAAGGGAAATCGGTCTGTAGTTATTCAAGAGAGCGTTGTCGCCTTTCTTGAAGAACAAGACCACCGCACTTCTGCTCCACGCCTCCGGAGTAGTGCCACCATGGAGAACGGAATTAAAGAGCTTATGAAGGACTTCAAGTACCGGTTTTCCACCCGCTTTCAAAAGCTTTGCTATAATTCCATCCTCGCCCGGTGACTTTCCGTTTTTAAGGTGCTGGAGAGCCATTCTAATATTGTTCAGACTGACGTCCGGGATATCTTCGGAATAGTGTCGGATAAGACTCGCTATTGGATCGTTACTCACACTTGCGTGTGGCTCGAACGATGACGTGTACAGCTGTCCATTAGAACCTCTCAATCTCTTTCAAAATCTCAGGTGTTCCGGAAAAGATGCTGCCACAATCGGTCTTCAGCTTTGACAGTTGGCTCTTTCTGGCAGACAGATCTCTGGCAAAGACTTTGGAGCCTTGGTTCCGCTCGATCGCTTCTTCAATACGAGCTGTATTGAAGTTGCGTAAGTCCCGCCGCATGCATTTGGAGATCTGTCTGTTCAGTTGCCTGTATGCTGTCAAATCTGTTGAAGAATGTAGCTTCATCTCCCGTCTAACAGCCATGAGATTTAGAGTGTGATCGGAGAGTTTTTGTGTTCGTCTGCGGCGGGTCTTGCAGAACTTAGCTCCGACCGCATGGACAGTTTCCACGAGCTTGTCATTCATATCGTCCACTTCATTGCAGTCCTCTAGGCACTGAAAACGGTTTTGTAACTCGAGCTGAAAGGTTTCAGGACTTTGGATAGAGCACGAGAGGGACGGAGCGTTGATTTCATTAGACAAGACTTCTCCAACTTAACGTTTAGGTTCAGTGTGCCTCTAACCATTCGGTGATCGCTACCAGTTTTCACCCCGCGATCACTGAGACATCACTGAACAGTTGTCGTCTGATCGTCATAATGAAGTCAATCTCATTTTTTGTCAAACCGTCGGGGCTCGACCAGGCCCACTTCCTGTGGGGCCGCTTCTGGAAGAAAGAGTTCATCATAAAGAGTCCCTCTTTCTCCATGAAGTCGGCCAGCTGCTGGC